ATTCTTAATTCATTTGCAACAAAACTATAAAGTTTTGTTGCAAACAGATGAAGACATTAGGCTTCTCAGCTCGCCCCTCAACATGCACGCGTTCGGAGTTTCGGCAGCCCAACACTGAATATTATTTTGTGGCCGTTGTATTTTAATTAATAAAATAAACATTATAAAAATTACAATACAAAAATGAAATTTCAATTACCCTGCTTCTAAATAAATAAAGCAGTTATTTTTATTTAGTTAAAAACGGACCAAAAGATACCTCCGAACTAGGCTACCAGAAAGAAAGAAGAAAAAAAAACAGAATTCGTTTTTAATCCCTGCATGATTTTAGTCATACATGATAAATATCAACTACGTTATAGCTTGACTACAAGTTTAAAAACAACGCAGACCAAACTTTGTGGCAATAATTAAGACCAAACTGAACATGGTGTGTGTTTATGGTGCATGTCGGCAATGTTGTCTCGGCTGAGGCGGGGCGAGGTGGAGGTGGGGCTTAGGTAGACGATATTATCGGATATCGCAATATTTTTAAAGGCGATTATCGATAAAATATTTTTGTGTGTTGCTCTAGGGTATCATGGCTGTTTTCCAGGTATTTTAAGGTGTTCTGAGTGTTTTAGGGTGTTGCTAAGCAGTTTCTAGGGTACTCTGGGGCCAGTTGCATAAACATAGACACATATTTTATAGTTTTAATAACTAGTTTCACCAACTAGCAATAGACAAGTGGTAATCAGTCTTACTTCTCATATTCAAATTAGACCAATCTATCTTTTTGTAATGGAATTGTAAAAGTTATGACCAGTCTTGTTGAAAAAAAATGTGATGAACTTTTTAAGACTAGTCTAAGCAGTTTATACAACCGGCCCCTGGTTGCTAGTTGTTTTTTAGGTGTTTTGAGTGGTTTATAGTGTGTTGCTATGCTGTTTCTAGGGTGTTCTGGGTGGTTGCTAGGTGATTGCTTAATGGACCTGATTCTTAGTATTTAGTTCTGTAGATGTGGCTCGGGTCCTTAATAGGATTTTTTACCATCTTATTGTCCACCGGGCAATTGTCAGTTTGATCATTATTGATGTCAGAAGCTCAAACAGTGTGGGGAGACATTTGGTGAGTCTTATGTAATTACAGTTCCTGTTCAGCACGTCTGGCTGTGAATGTGACATTTAGCAATACTTGAGGAAAGTCTGGAGTGAATGATGTGACTGTGGCGCAACACAACTTCAGCAAGTTTGTTCGGGCCGTGATATAATGTGACCCTCAGCAAAATATAAACTGGACCCAAGCCCAGATCCCCAAATTTCGATCAATTCAGATGGATTATGTTGTAATGATTAATGTTTCACGTCACCATGATGTTACAGTAGCACAAAGAACATTGCCCATGTTGCCCACCATCTGAGTTCAGAGAGTTCAGCTATTGAGTCACACATAAAAGATACTACAAAAATATGATTGAGGTTGAGGATGCAATATGCTGTGCTGCAAGTGTTCACGTTATTGTAAGGAAAAAATAAGCAACAAATACTTCTTAACTATAGAAATAAGTTTAAAGAGAACCACCCTGTGACAGTTTAATTTAGCCTTTTTTTACTGTTACATATTCTGGTGCCTTCTTTTGAATACATTTATTTTTCTTATTTTTTTTGTTTAAATTTGTTTAATGTTTATTGCTAGAAAATTACAATATCCCACAAATCAGGGTTTTAAATGTATTTAAATGTAAACAGTAACAGGGATGAAAATATTACAAACCTAATATAATAAGAAATTTAGTTTGACCTCCGGAGTTTTTCTGATGGCTAACACCTGCTTTCAAATATTTATTAAAATACAAGGCCCTGTCAAATATTTATTAAAAAACAAGGCCCTGTTTTGTACCTTATTCGTAGAAGTGTACAGTAAAACAGTAATGTGAAATATTACTATAATTTAAAATTATTTGAATATATTTTAAAATGTAATTTATTTACGTGATGGCAAAGCTGAATTTTTAGGAGCTATTACTCCAGCTATTACTGGAGTAATAGCTCCAATTTTTAGGAGCTATTACTCCAGCTATTACTCCAGTTACTCCAGCTATTACTCCACATGATCCTTCAGAAATCAATGTTGAAAACAGTTGTGCTGCTTAATATTTTTGTGGAAACCATGATTAATTTTTTCAGGATTCTCTGATGAACGGAAAGTTCAAAAGAACAGCATTTATTTGAAATGGAAATCTTTTGTAACATTAATGTCTTTACTGTTACTTTTGATCAATTTAATGCATCCTTGCTGAATATTAATTCCTATTTTTTTAATAAAAAAACAAACAAAACTTACTGACCCCAAAACAGTGGTGTAAATTTTGTGCATAATCATGTAATATATTACTATTATTAACACAAATATACTAAACTGAAATTAAAATAAAAGAATAAAATATTATATTTATATAGTTCATAATGTTGAATCTAGAACATGACAGATTTTTCTTAAAGACTGATATGTCAGGGTCTTTATCTCATTTTAATGATTTTTCACAACAGTGCTGTTTATTCCTTTATGTGTAAAACCTTTTTAATTACCAAAAAAAATGAAAGAGTAACTTCAGAGCAATAAAAAATTTCTCTAGGCTTTTCCAAAAGCAAGACCTGTGTTTATAATGCTAGACGCTTCACTGACTTCTCAGTGAAGAGCTAGTAAATGATTAGGATTAGCTTTATGCTAATAAGCACAAGCCCTGCAGGTGATGAAATTCCACAGGCGGGACTGAGGAAAACATGTCTCAATCTCTCACACTCACAGACAAGTGTAGGCAACGTCTGCTACATACCACGAAACTAGCTGCCCAACAGAAAGCAGAAACCTCAGACTGCGCGCGCACTATTGACTGACTCTCTTGTTAATGACTCTGTGAAGTTAAGAGTTGAATCTAATGCCTGAACGTTTGTGTGTGCCGCTCGAAGAATGACATTGCAAACAGGCAATGGCGCTGCGATGGCTATGGATGTTAGTACCATGGAGAGGAGGTTGGAACCCACGCTCAAAGTCACCCGGACAAGGTAGAGCTGCAAGGACTTGTGGGATTGGGAGAGCGAGATGATAAACGGGGGATGTATACTGGAAGAGCTGGATTACATCTATGGAAACTTCTTCCAGAAGATGTTTGATCAATCAATGATAGCTTCTCACTTACACTCTTTCTATTTTTACTTCCCTCATTTGCTGAGTGATATTCACTGATGATCTCATAGACATCGCTCTCGGGACGGCGCTGTTAGTGGCTTTGGAAAATATTGAGCCCATTTATGGTTCCTTAGAAATTGAGTAAGAGGAGATTATGAGGAGGATCAGTTTAGTAGACAAACAGATACTGGAAATGAGATCCACATAAGGATTTTGGATTTGGGTGTTAGTGCATGTTGTTAAGAAAGTTCACTACTGTTGTGTTTTTTTATGGAAATGTAGTTGTTGGAAGCTCAGATCTTACTAATAGTTTACTAAACTAAACTTCTCTTCAACTCTAGAGGAGGAACGACATGTTCGAGCCAACGATCGCGACTACAATGAGAGGTTCAGTTATGCTGTAAGTCTGTAAATGTCTTTTATTGTCAAGTGTGTTATGGACATGACTGCTCACGTTTTACTATTAGAACAAATCTTAATGATTTCATAATGTGACAGCCCATTTTTAAATGTAATTTTGAGAAGTAACTCATTGGGCTTGTTTGTGAAATATAACCCGAATGTATTTATGTGTGGATCGTACCATCGTATGTGGATCGGTTCATATCTGAATGGATTTGCATTAATATGCAGTTTTGTGAACAGGGACATTTGAATTTATGATGTGTGTTCATTTTAAGAAATTAACAAAATTGGTCAAAAGTGACAGTAAAGACTTTTACGATGTAACAAAACATTTCTATTTCAATTAAATGCTGTTCTTTTGAACTTCCTATACGTCAAAGAAAAATGTATCAGTGTCTTAAAAAAAGGTTTTCAATATTGATAATAATAATAAATGTTTCTTGAGCAGTAAATCATCATATTATTATGATTTCTGAAGGATCATCTGACACTGAATAGTGAGTAGTGAGTAGTCAAACGTTTTTGACTAGTACTGTATAAAGCACTGTGGTCAACTTCCGTTGTTCTAAAAACGTATTATATTTTTTCCATAATAATAAGTCAGAATTATTATTATTTTTTATCTGTGTAATTTCTCCCCAGGACAATCGCATCAAGACAGCAAAATACAACGTTTTCACCTTCCTGCCCATTAACTTGTTCGAGCAGTTTCAACGTTTTGCGAACGCCTACTTCCTAGTACTGCTGATACTGCAGGTTTGCCAGCCTTTTAAGAAACTACAAGATCAGTGTATTGAAGATGAATCTGGAGCCTCATTTATAAATTTGATCCTGAATTTCATGGATTTGGTTCTTAATTAAAAGTCAGGATCTATGAAGTCTGAAAGTGAAAATGTCAATCCAAACCTGTATGACCTTTCTTCTGTGGAATTGTTTTGGCCATAAAATGAAAGTCAGTTGGTTTGAACTCCATTGTCTTTTATTATATGGACAAAACCATCCTTCTGTTGTGTTCCACAGAACCAAGAAAGTCATATAGCTTTGGAATGACATGACATTCGATGTCCATGTCCATTTTTTTT